GGTTCATAGGACCATGTTCAACCGCTGAGCAATACCGGCTGGGCTGTGTCTATTTCTTCCTCTGCAAAATGGGGGTGATCTTAGCTAATTCATGGGAGACAATTTTACCTGTTTCAAAGAGTTTTTAGGAGGAAGCGGTCCAGGCAGTGTCGTCCCCCCCCATAGTAAACACACAGCCTGTCTGAGCCTTGATTAAGATCTTAGATTGACACACATCCTAACGGGAGGGGGACCAGATGGCAGATGAAGCTGTGAGGCTGTGCCCTCATCTGCAAAAATGGAAATAATTATTCATTTAAAAGCTTGAATGAGTTCTATGTAAATTATCATGCCTATTTCTCAAATTAGGGTTCCAATGATCCCTTCTGTCGCAAAGCAATTATTTATTAATTATGTCAATAGGAAATTGTATTCTTCCCGTTACTAGAAGGGGATATGCTTAAATTTGTAGTGCTTACTGGTTTTTCTGATTTGGAAGCAATACACCTTACGCAGAAAATTTGGAGACTATAGAAGAGCATGAAGAAGACAGTTTTAAAAGTCACCCATATGCAGGTGGGCGCAGCCACTATGGAAAACAGTGTGGAGGTTCCTAAAAAAAAAAAAAAAATAGAACTGCCTTTTGAACCAGAGATCCCACTCCTGGGAATATATCCAAACAATCCAGAAACACCAGTCACAAAGAATATATGCACCCCTATGTTTATAGCAGCGCAATTTACAATAGCCAAGATCTGGAAACAGCCCAAGTGCCCATCAGGAGATGAGTGGATAAAAAACCTGTGGGACATTTACACCAGGAATACTACGCAGCTGTAAAGAAGAAGGATCTCTCATCCTTTGGGACAGCATGGAGGGTCCTGGAGAACATTATGGGAAGCAAAATAAGCCAGGTAGAGAAAGAGAAATGTCGCACGATCTCACTCACATGTGGAATCTAATGAACAAAATAAATTGACAAAATAGAACCAGAGGCCTGGATACATAGTACAGGCCGACAGAGNCACAAAGGGCGGCGCGGGCCAGCCCCACCCCCACCCCGGGGCGCAGAGCCGCCGCGCGGGACCCGGGCACAAAGGCAGCACCGGGGGCGCGGGGAGCAAGAAGGGAGGGAGCCCCCCGGAATCTGCCCGAGCGTCAGGGTTGGCAGAACCCTTTCCCCGGGCAGCAGCTCCTCGTAACGACCGTCCCCAAGCTCAGGTCCGTTACCCTCGTGGCGGAAGCACTTACACCCGGGGCAGGCGGGTGGGCCTTGAGGAGCGCCCTTGGGGAAGGGCTGGCCCTTGTCTGGCCCTCGAAACATTTCCCGATATTGGCCTAGTTATGTCCGAGAGGCGGACTTGCCCTGGCAGAGGGAGGGGACCTCTTCCTAGAAGGCTTCTGGTGCGCCTTGCCAAGCCCGTCTGCAGAGGGTCCCCCGGGTTACCCTCGCTCTCAGCAGGCAGAGGTGAGAATTGGGAAGGCGGTCTCTTGGGGGGGTGGGGGGCGCGGAGACTCACCTGGTGCCGCGTGCGGGATGCGCGCACTGGTTCTGTGAGGTCCAGATCCCGCCAAGCGCGCTCCCGCCTTAGGGCCTTGGCCGTCGGCCTACGCACAGCCTGGAACGTCCAACATCCAAACGTCTACATTCTGGGTTCTTACCAGGCTCGAGTTGTGTCTTCCCTGAGC